CAGCTAGCTGTGCCTGGCTGAGGACTCCCGCCCCCCCCTCACTCCCCGAAATCTGACCACCGAAAAGTGTGAACGCTGACACAATTTCACAATGTGCAAAAAAAACAAACAAACTTCCCATTACGCCAAAACGGCCGCGTAACCAAAATGTCGGCCGTCAGGGTGCGCTACACGAGCGGGCGGCCCGTGGCTCGGGGGCGCGCGCCGGCGGGGCAGGGCAACTCTGACGTGGCCCACCTGTGCAGACCCCTCCGGACCGTGGCGCCTGCAGGACGGAGCAGAGGGCGGGGCGCAGGGACAGGGGCTCCCCCCTCCTGCTCTGCCTCGTCTGTCAGCGTTTCCAGGCAGGCAGCGGGAGTTGATTCGTGTGTCAGAAAGGCGCTATCCCACATTCCCCGGGTGGCTGGCAGCATGCCGGCTGTGGAGGGGTTCGCATCTTTCTCACGACCTCTCAGGTTCCTGAGCTCATCTGGGAGCTATTCATTTCCTGCCAGAAAACAGCCTCCCCCCACCCACCCACACACACACACACCCACCCTTGGAGAGGCGAGGAGGAGAGCCGAGCCGAGAGAGAGGAAGGGGAGGAAAAAAAAACGCCACCTTGGCCGCAGAGCGAGCCCTGGGCTCTGTACAGCGAGCTCCCGGCTTAAATCATAAAGCTTTCGCTTGTCTGGGCTGCAATCAAAGACAGCAACGAGGGAGCCGGGGGGAGACAAGGGAGAGATCGCACCATATGGTAGCACTTAAGAAGCAAGGAGGAAGCAAGGAGAGGTTTGTTGCATGTGTGCTAGGAGTGTGGGAAAAGTTAATTGACATGAGTGACAGCTAACCCCTAGTAGGGTTATTATATGTGTGCGCGATAACCATGTCGGTACAATACCACTGGAAATATGAGAGCAGCATAAAGTGGTTTATAGGCCGCTGGTTAAAGTGGAAGTACAGCGTTGGCAACAGCTGTAGCACCAAGCAAGAAGCAGGATGAAGGATGCAGGAACCCAGAAACGCTGGCCTCTCCATGTCAAGACACTTGTCTCCAGTGCCGGGGCACAGGGGCTCTTGCGCTCTCAGCATCACCAGAAGCTGAGACCCTCATGCTAGGAAACTTGCATTTTCTGTCGGGTTTTTTTTTTTTTTTTCGGCTTCTGAAGTAATTTCCTGAGATGCAGATTCCTTCAAGCCGCCTCCTAGTCCCTGGCTTGTAAACATATCTGTCCTTGCAGGCTTCCACTCCATGTGTCTTCAATCAACCGGCTTTCAGAGTCATAAAAGGTGAAATGGAAATTCAAACAGATTGCAGTTATCCACACTTTATGCCTGTTAGTAGATTTGTTTTCTTCTTTCCATAATTACAAACATCTGGAGAGCCCCCTTCACTGGATGGTCATACTTTGCACTGCTTGGACAAGTTCGCAGTCTTGAAATGTAGCTTGGAAGGTACTGCTGTTTTCATTTGTTCATGCAATAAGACCTGCAGATTTCTGCCAGAAGTCTCTTTTAATGTATATATTTTGTCAAAACTCTTGGAGCCCAGCCGTTATTCACTTCTGCATTTAGACACACATAAGGTCCCACTTGTATTAAAAGTACATCTTGACAAACGTAGTGTGTACTTCTAAGAAACTTTGTCTTATATGCACAGTTCATTCATTATTTCAATTACAGTAACTGCAATACTGTAAAATTGATAGGAAAGAGCTTTCATATATTGTGAGTCCTCCTGTTCTTTATGCTTCATCTAACTCTTTAGTTCACAGAGAATATTACACACAGGACATCAAACAGATACTTTACTTAACCTGAATCTGGAAAATCATTTTTCTAAGCATTTTATTTTCTACATCTTATTAAATATTATTCACAGTTTACAGAGGAGCAGAAAAGAAGAAAATCGACATTGTTTAGGGCCATTGTGGATTTGAAGAGAAGTGCAAAAAGGAAAATCTTGCACTGCAAAGAATTCTGTTACTACTCAGACTGGTCCTGTTATTTAGAAACCTCAGACGTACCAACATTTTGAAACTCTTACAAGAAGGCTACCTCTGTCTCAGCACAGACAAATCAGAACATTCTTTCAGTCGTTCAGCATGACTACCTACCCACTTATTGCTGTACTCTAGCTTCAGGATTCAAATCATGATCATTCTGTCCTTCTTACTGGTCCATTGATCCAAGTGAAAATCACACTAAATAAACAAATGATCTTTTTTAATATATTTTAGAAAAGATGATTAACTCGTCACAGTCTGCATTTCTATTGTCTGTTCCTTACAAGAAAAGAACCTTTATTGTGGTGCTCTACGATTCTTTAATTGCTCATTAATTGACTGAGTTCAAACTCTCTTGTTGTACACCATTGCAGTAAAAAACTATTTTCTTAGTGCATTATATAATATAAACCAGAAAAAATTAACACAATCACAAGACTAATGTTCCTGTCTGTCAGGGATAAAAGGAACAAACCTTGATCTGGAAAAAAAACCCGATTTGTTATCAATTGGAACACTGCCATGTTTATGCTTTACCTTCTTCTTTAAAACAGCAATTACACATCCATGACAATTCCCATCAATTTAAACAGGCAAGGGCCTGACTGGTGAGAGACTGTGGTTGTCAAAGATCTTCAATCGAACGGTATGGCCCCCTACCGGTGGCGTTAATGTATTGGCCAGAGACGAATGCCTTTCATCTTACTCCCAAAGGACGTTTATTACCTTAAAGCTTGCCTGGCGTGAGTCGTCTGACATTCAGAAGAGCTACAGCAATCTCGGTTTACCACGCCACTCTCCTGGACGGGTCTGCGGAGAGGAGAAAGTGGTATTTCTATTTCTGAACGCCTCTTAAAGGTCACCAATGCCACCACGAACATGAATTCGTATTTCAGACACAGGTCGTGGACGTACAATGGCTAAATGGATATTCTGCTTTAATAGATTTCCAGGTACCCCGTGATTTTAATTTCAAAACCTCTTTCGTTACGAAACGAAAAGACGAAGATATACTCTTGGCAAAAGAGCTGCTTCATTGCTTGCAAACGGCTGGCCAAAAACGTGGATATGATAAAATGCATTAAAGAAATATACTTACTGTATTATAGCCAAATACATACCGGGTTTGTTTGTTTTTTAAACACTTGAGTGTTTTTGTATATTTGTCTCAATTTTTTTCCAAAGACCAGACAATGTTAAAACCATGACCGAACCATTTGCGCCTTCATAACGTCAATGTTTTTTTGTTTTTTCCCGCTGCGGCCCTAAAAGTCTCGGTCGGCTTTCTGGAAGGGATTCGTCACCATGGTCCGTATCCCAAGATCCTTGTTGCAATGAGGGGCAATCTTACTAGAGGGCGCCAGTGCTCCAACAATTACATAGTTGTCACAAAACATCCATAAATACACAAAATAGGACGCTAAGATTCAAGAACTTCTGCCACATGTATGGTTAGTGTCACGTTTTTCATTGTACACATTGTGTGGGAGTTATTTATACCGCACTGTACCAAATTATTTTCGTTTATATAGAAGGAGTTAGGAAAATATTCGTTTTAATTGCAATGAGGCTATTACTACAAATAACGTCTTCTTCTGCTCTTACTAATAGTTATATCGATAACATTTAAGAGCTATAAAGTCAAACGTTTAATAAAATACAGTATGTTTTTTTTCTTTAAAATATCTTTCATTGATAAGAATGAATCGCTTTCCCATCGGGACCATCGACCCCAGCGCCTCGGGGAATTAAGTGCATTGAATCGTATTTGTACGTACTCTTCAACAAGACAGCAGTGCCTTCACTAAGCCTTAAACCGCAAGTAAGAAAAGACCAAATATTTTCTCTTTTTAATCCGGATGTCTTTCAGTCTTCGGCACTTCTTTTTTTCCTTTCCTTGTCCTGTCTGGTCTCGCTTCCCCCCTCCCTCTGCTCCTGTGTGTTTTGTATTTCTGGAAACACCTGGATTTGGTCAAACACCTGGCCGATCCAGGACAAAATCCAACAAGCCTTGTTGAAGGGATTTAGCGGAGAATTCAACACTTGAAATCTGGAAGTGTTTAAATCCGTGCCGTTTTGAGTTAGGACATGTTCTGGGGCTTGTGTGCGGCTGTAACTCGATACTGGCAGGCGGGCGGCAGTTTATCAGCGCGCACAGTTGGGCCGGATAGCACTGGCGACTTCTCCGAAACAAGCTGAAGAGCGATGTCAAGTCTGGACAGAACGCAGATCCGAAGTGAAAATGCCCCCAGATTTGGAATCGGGCAGGATGGAAGGGACACCACCATTCGCCCTATGCTTATTAAAGAGCTGCCAAAAAGTAATTACTGCTCCTCTACGTGTTAGCTCATTTAAGCGTTTTAAAAAGGTTCAAACGGTCAATCAAAATACACTCTGCATCTGGCCTATACAGGTATAAAGAGCAAAAGGCTCATGATGAGATAATGATAAGCCTTTTGGACTTTTGCTATTGCACATATCTAAATATGTTGGTAGGTCTGATATTTTTCACACTAATGGAAAAATTCAGGAGACGTTATTAGTCCCTAAAAAATGTGCAGTTGTGGCTCGACTCGTGTGTTCAGGGGTCACGTCGCCGTGTAGTTACAGGCACTGACCGGAGCTCACTTCACTCGCCTTCGGGTTTAAGCGAGTTTCTGCGGGGAAGGCGACTGTGCAGTAAAATTTGAGAAGCAGCAATAAATCACCCTACCACTTTCAGGGCGATACTAATTCCAAACGACCTGTTGCTGCGCAGTTTGGATTTTCCCCAACTTCTAACCAAGGATCTCCAGAAGCAGAATGATTTGAACTCCCTGTACCCTCAAGCATGCCTCACAGACCTTTAAAGGCTTCATCGACATTATGCGGTGACCTACAAGTAAAAAAGGCTTCGGCCATTCCAACGAGTTAGCGGAGCAGCGTTAGGAAGTGGGGAGGTATTTATCATTAAATAAGGATTCTCAAGCTCAGGGCAGCAAAGTGTGCAAAGAGACACAACAACTGCGTTTTAGATCGGTTTTAAAAATTTATTTAGATCTTCCAAAAGGAAGACACGTTCTTAAGAGCATTCAACATATCTTTGGCATCACATAATAAAAAGACACCTCGAATATAAAATGCAGTTCAATAAACTGACTTTACAAAACATTTCAATATGAACTTTCCCTCATATATAATATATACAAATATAGTGCATACTCTTCACTTGAATACACTTTCATACAAAAAATAGGCATCTAAACAAGAAGAAACCAGTTCTTTTGCTATTACGTGTAAAGAACAAAAAAAGTCTTTTCTTTTTTTCGCACAGCGCTTTCTACCATGGTCTCCACACCGAGTCAGCCGTGACCGAAGGCGCGCCCGGGGACACAGCCGGTACCGGCGTGCCGACGTTATTGGCATACACGGGGATAACTGGTCCGTTAGGGGCAAAGGCTGCGTTAGGGATCAAAAAGGCGAACTGTCCATCCGTAGCCGGTACAAGCTGGAAGCCGCCGTACACCTTCGTCGCCTCCGCCGGTAAGCTGCCCGCATGGCCACCCTTGCAAGGCGGGCCGTTCAGGGGCGAGGCGCCGGGGAGCGGGACCAGGGGCTGGCCGAACGCCGGGTGCGGTGGGCCGGCGGGGATCTGCGGCTGCGTGGGGTAGTTCATGGCGTTGATCTGCGACATGCAGCTGGCGAGGTGGCCCAGGAGCCGTGTCCTGACCTCGGTGTTAACCCCTTCGCAGGTGGACAGGAACCGCGTCACCTCGTTCATGCACTCGCTGAACCCTGCGCGGTACTTTCCGAGGACGGTGGGGTCAGTGTTCAAAGCAGCTACAGGAAGAAGGCACAGCCAGCATTAGTCGGGCTCGTCCACCAAGTCAAGAGGCGCGTCGCCAAACCGCGAAACGAGTAGCCGGTGAAGTGTCACAAGTGTCCGAACACCGCCTCAGCCGGAGCATCGGAGATGTTGGCGGAGTTTGAACCCCCCCCACAAAAAAACACATTTTAATTCTTATCCACCCTCTCTCTCTGCCTCCCGGAACTACCACAAGATGTGTCTATAAATAATTCCAGACCGTGGGAACAGAGCTATGAGCCAAGTCGGTAAAACTGCTGCCGAATACCAGCTAAACCGCAGACGGAAGTCTGGAAGACATCAGCTATGAAATAATTCCAAGGATTAAACGCCGACATAAGGCAACTCACCCGTCATCTGCGCTCGCTGCAGGTTTCGAAGGTGTTTCACCGTCATTTCAAGAATGTCAGCCTTTTCCAGTTTCGAGTGTCTGGAGCTCTGCAAATCAAAAAAGATCAGAATCATTCATTGCTGCTGACCTCCGGCCGAACAGCTTAATAACACATCTCCGCCGCCTGTTCTCGGACGGAACCCGGCACACGGGTTGACTGCGCCGACAGCACTACAGTATGTCCATGCAGGAGAGGGCTGCTGGCTTGTAGCGGTTACGAAAGGGTGAGGAGGACGGAATCCTTACATCTTTCTTGAGTGCGTCCAAGATGAGAGTTTTCAGCTGGCCCAGGCTTTCGTTGATCCTCGCTCTCCTCCTTTTCTCCATAATCGGTTTCGAGGACTAAAAAAAAAAAGGGAGAAAAACGACACGTTGAACCCGGAGGACCCGCACCGTCAGAAGTGACAAGATTGCTGTGCTCGCTAGATACTCGGGTATCGGGGCGGTATGCGTGATAGTTACCTTCCTGTGCTCGGAAGCAGTCTTGGGTTTATCTGGCGTCGTGTTCATGCTCGCCGGGGTGGCCGCCACTGGCGATGAGGATGTTTTCTCCATCATGTCGGCTGGCATCTTCGCTTGGCAAATATCCCACAAACCTTTGGGCCGCTGTCAGAACCTGGTGAATTCCCCCTCCTGTAGTTGCCAGATGTGCTGGGCTTTTTTTTTTGTTATTAAAAAAAACGTTGCTTCTTCGAGTTAAGTTTTATACGTCTTCTTTTAAATACAAAATCCCCCAGTTTTGTTTGTTTTTTTTTTCCAGACAGAATCCTCGTCTTGGGTTGGAAAGTACACAAAAAAAAATGCTTGTCATACACCTTTATCAATGCGCGGTACCGTTTATCAGAGCGGCAGTGAGGCGCTACAGCTGGCTCTGAGCTTACTGTCAGACTGTCAACGTTGTGAGCGTCCAGCCCAACGTCGTGCAGGTCTTATTTATATCTGAGACTGCACGCGAACGGCTCGTGTGAAACTTCCCAAACTTTCTTTCCCACAGTAACTTTCTACCAATCAGCGTGAGGGACACGCGGCCCGAGGGGAGGACGGCTCGTGGACGGCGCCCCGCCATTGGCTGCGCGGCGCGGGGACGGGCGGCCAATGGCGCGCGGCTGGGCTCAGGCCAACACGGGCCCTGCGCAGTCAATCACCCCGGTTCACAAATTAACGCTTTCGGCTCTAGGGCCCTGCGAGGCGGTCGCATGCTGCACACTGTCGAAGGGTGATTTTTTTATGGCTTAAACTTGGCATGGCGTAATGTCCCCTGAAAAAAAAAAACCCTGACGCTAATTATCGCAAAACGGCAATAAAATGCCCTAAAGGGAACGGAATACCCGCTTTAATTAAAGAGGCCTGTCTTATGCGTTGGTATTGTTGGTTTTCGTTTATAGATGGTTCTTAGAGCACTACTTTGTTTTAAAGAGTATAAGCCTTCTGTACTTAAATTGTATTTATGCACAGATCGCAGTTCAATAAAATGAACACGCCGCGCATTTAATAATAGTAGTAATCGTTGCAGAATGAGTAATAAACTCTAGTGCTCTTTGTTTTAATTATCGCATAGTTGTCCTGTAATGTATTTGCATCGGCGCTTATATTTTTTGAATAAAGAATTGTTCCGAATTGCTTCAATTTTAGATACGGTGCTTGCAGACGATATTAGGTTTTGGACTGCTAAAAGTAGCAGTTTTATGCCAATTGAATATTTAAAAAACGACTTTTGCATTCGACTTCGCTTGTAAGGCGAATGGTGATACTTCCCAAATGAAAATATTAACATTTAGATAAATGTGTGGTTTGTAACATAAAAACAATATTTGCTATAAAAATGCTGCTTTTTATCTTTCTGCTTTAGGGCAGTTGGTAACATTTTAAAAAGTTATAAAGTTTTTTTTTTGAAGTGCCATGGTTCTTCTTTTCAAGAGAAAAAAAAACTTCTTATTTTTATTTTTCTCACGATCTTTGCCTAAAATATGTATAAAAAAGAGACTAAATAAAAATTCGGGAAGCGGGATAAAGGGGTCGGGGGGAGATTCATTTGAATGAATTTCGGGACCAAACAAATTCAACTTTTAAAACGGAAGAAAAAACGAAAATCAAACAACTGCTTGATTTCGACGGCCCCGGTGCCTACGGTATGCATCTCTCTCTCTCTCCAGTAGTGTTGATCCGCGCCGGCGCTGTGTCTTTAAAGCGCAGCGCAGCGCAAGCCTGGCAGTTTGACATCTGTCGGCATGCGAGCGCTATTGTGAATGTGGAGCACGTGCCAGGATGTTTTACTGCGCGCTGTGGTTGAGGTTTGGCTGCCGGGCTGGGGGTGGCGGTGGAGGTTTATATTAGAGGGAAGGTAAATAGCAGCTGCTGTGTTAAAGCCTGGGAAAACCACGCCCACTGCGATCTGGATCGGGCTCATTGGAATGCGAGCCAGTCCGGAGTTATTTCTCCGCGCGCCGGAGCGCCGAGGGGTGAGGCCCGCAGTACCTCCTGCGGGGGAGCGGGGGCGCTCGGTAGTCATTTTGGTCTTCTGTAGCGGTCTAATTTTGACATCTGTGGTGCATCAAATAAAGCTTTTATACGTGGTTAATACAACGCCGACAGTGGCACCAATAAAGGGCATGGTTAGGGCTTAGAACTGTAAATTAAACTTCGCAGCCTTTCATATTTTAATGTTGTTCACGGACATTTCTGGAAGTGATTTTTAACAATTCCCCGTTTTTAATTCCAGAAAGCCCAGAAGTGCGACCTCACTGAAATGTTACCAAAATAAGTAAAAAAAAAAAAGGAACTGAAACGTCTGTTTTTTTAGGAAAAGGGTAAATTATTTTGCTTTCGATTGTGGTCGATTTCCAAATGGTAAGAGACCTTAATTATTTTATTATGGGTTTGATTTTACTTAATCTAAAGGCTGCATAAAGTCATATATTTAAACCTGCAAGGGAGAGCATGTCTTTCTTCAAAGTACCGCATGCATTTTGGGGATAAACTAAGAATAAAGTTTACATGTAGTATATAGAGTAATATATGTAATATATATGCTTATCCTTTAATAAACAAAGCTATAGGCTGCTCTTATTTTTAATTATATATGTGCATTTCAATAGAGCCCTGATACCCTTAAATTCTATTCTGATGACGTGAAGTACATCCACAAAGTAGTGGATTCTTTTCTCTGGGCTGCAATTAATGAAGTTGATGTGTTGTGCAGTCTGCAGACATCGCACGCTGTGTGTGCTTTCGGGGCAAATGCGGCTCATTTAGTTATTACCTCCCTGCAAACTGTGATATCAACTGTCATTTCCTCTGTGGAAGGTGTGTTCTGTGTGCTTTGTGGACTGAGCGGCACCGTTTACCTGCTCGTGTACGTATGGTGTGTGTGTGTGGGGGGTGGGGTGGTGTTTGCCCCTCCGCCCCGTGCTACCTTAACAGCGCTCCGACACACACAGTTGCTGCGCGCTCTCCAGCTGCTGTGGACCCCGCGACGCGTGGCGGGCGAGCGACCGGGGGAAGGCGCCTGCTCTGCCGGCTTGCAGCCCGCAGCTGCGGGAGGCTGTATTGGCTGCTGCGCGGAGATGGCGGATTTGATTGGAGCCTGGAGCGCGCGCGCTGTCCCCCCCCTTCAGCGATCTCCTCCAGCCCTTTGAGTGGCTTCGGATCATTCTCCACAGACTGCATTTTTCCCTCCAAAAAACAACAACAACAACAACAACAACAACAACAACAACAAAAAGACGACCGACCCAAAGTTTTGGGTCGTGCTTTTACTTTTCTTTCTGTGTCGCTTCTATCGTGTCGTCACTCCCCCCCCCGGCGTACTTTGCCGTAACAATTTATGAAAGCGAAAGCATTTTAATATAACCGAACGAGTTTATACGTTATGGTTAGCAACACAGAGCGGCTTAATTAAAGTTTTTCAGGGGTCATTCGTGTGTTGAAAAGGATAGGAGGTGAAGCATAAACAACATTACATTAGTTTCCAGTTTCGTGCAGCGTACTGTATAAACATAATGAACTAGCCACATTCATTGGCCGGGAGTCACCGAATTTTAGAGTTGAATCGCCAGACTTTTAAAAATCCCAAGATATATGAACGATCCCTTCGGCCGCTGGAGTTGTTTCATGGTCCGTATCTAGAATACAGATCCCAGGATAATTTGCACGAGGGGGAGAGGCTAAAGGGCTTAAAAGTTATGCGGAGCAAGTTTATTTTCCTCATTTAATCATTTTACCAAGATCATTTTCCCCCCCCAACTGTTTTCGTGTAATAAACGTTGTACCCTGTATCACGGGTTTAATACTGACCACATAATGGACAACACGCTGCAGAGGTTCTGACAATTCGAGGAAAAGCACATGACGCACAGTCTCAGCCCTGTCATGTTTACCGAGTAATCCACCTACTGGTCTTGGCTATAGTGGAAGTGGTATTAGCAGTACATGTAATAGTAAATCGTTTTTTTTAATCGTCGAGGATTTAGGCTAAATAACTACTAAACCCCATTAACACTGATGTTGATTTCAATAAACATATTTCTTTATAAAATCGCAAAACGGTATACGTCATCACTGTTATTACAGTAGAAAATGTTTTGATTTCAAGCAATTATTCTTTTAAGTCATTGTAACTTCTCAGATATTGCTGAGAAGCATATTGAACTTAGAAGCATATTGAACAAATTCAGCACTGCAGCACAAATCCCGGGAGGTTTATAATTTAAGGCTGTGTGTCTATGCCCATCAACATGTATCGTTGTTCTCTGGTGCATATTGGAAGATAGCTCTGTGTGAAAAACGATAAACGGGCAGAATGGAGAAAAAACTAGATATCTACTGTCCTGGGTAGTGGATGTAGCTTGGATGCTTTTTTTCTGGGCTGAAACACTATTTCACTGAAAATAAATATATAAAAATGAACATATATTTTGCCTCGGGTATTCAAAGCTTGTTTTCTTCTCCACTTGACTAACTTTCTCACGCTCACTTTCCCAGAGTGGAGTGGAGATTGAGTCACCGAAGCCCTCTTTCTGCCTTTCCGCTGCCTCTCTGCACACAGCTTGGTACCCCGTCTGCCCTGGGTTCAGACCAATACCATAAGCGCTACCCGATGCTTTTTTGTTGTTGTTGCTTAGAACGTTTTAGAAGTACCATTCAGTACAAGTCACACTTTCCGAAAACCTTCAGAGGATAATCAAAAGGTTTAAAAGTAAGCTACGATTTGAAAAATGTGCATGATGCAAAAGGTCTCCATCAACTACAAAGAGAGCTAAATTCATACAAACAGAAAGGAGGTGGAAGGAGGCATCCAAGCACACTGTTATCCATATCTTAAATCCAGTCCCCTGCTTACAACAGTTCTGGGCAGCCTGAAACCAAAAATGAGTTTTGGACAGATGTTAGGCCAGTTCAGAAGTGCAACATAGAAGTAAACGAAGGAATGAGTGGTAACAAATATAAGAAAAAGAACTTAAGCTTCCTTGGGATTTTTTTACTTGATCTTATTCAACCATACGACACGAAAAGAATAAAAAATGGCTGAATTGAAAACAGTTGCTTGCTCTATTTATACTGACAGTTTCTTGTTCTTGGCACTGGAGGAAAGGGAAGGGAATTAAACTCGGAGGGACAGGAGCGTCTTTAATTCCTGGGCAGCCATCGGCACAAGCCCTCACATTCCATCAGTCTGCAGGAATCCCATGTTTGGCAGCTGCTGCTTAATTGCAGCTATCACATGAATCTTGCCTTACAGCCCCACTAAGACCTCTTTCCCATGGTCATATCTTTATTGAGGTCTGTGGAACAAGGACCTGCATGCTGCAATAATGCAATTACACAGCCGATTGCAGGGATAAAGTACGTGAGAAAACAAGAGATAGCAAGGTTCCAAACAATCTGATTCACAGCCAGAGACAGACCTTACCAAATATAAAACAGTGAGGCCATTTTTAATGTGTAACCCATTTCACT